CAATGTTATGTCAATTTTTATGCTAATTATGTCGCATAGATAAGAGGACAATGAGATAAGCAAAAAAAATTGGTAACAATATTATATAATAAGATTTATGTAAGTATATATTATTGAGTATATATATCTTTTTCTGGCAATAATTGTTTTTTTATTTTAGCCTCCTGTTTTTGCAATAAATCTTCAATTTATTTAGGACTCGTCGTTTTTCTTTTTTCTTTTCTTTTTCTAATTTTACATTTTTCAATAACACGGTTCTTGGTAAGAATTTTTTTGATAATAATATGTACACCTTCTATTTATTCTCATATCTTAGAGGACAATAATGGACTGAAACCGTCCGGAGTAATAATAATAAATAATAATCCCATCGCTGCTATTAGCATTCTCACCTTTACACTATTCTTAGACTAAGCGTTCTGTTTCGTTCCAGTGATGTTCTGGCCATAGACTTTAGTGTTCTGGATCACCACACATCATAGCATATAAGGCTTGGACAGAGTATTTTATATATAATCAATGTATCCTTCTTAGTCACAAACTCCACATCTATTCAGAAATCTTCTATACATACAAAAATGCAAATTTTCTACTTCAGGTTACTTTCAGATCAAATTACTTCAATTTTCTGTCAAGACTAATGCCAATTGGAGGATTACTATTTTGATATATTTCACCGACGTACTTACCTGATTCCTCCAAAGACGAGCTCCATAATTGAACCCATTTATACTTGCGAGTAAAAATTATGAGACCGTCTTCAGTGAATTTACTGACAGATAAGTGATCTGTCTTCTGACACTATTTTCCATTTCTAAAATTCCTTAAGCTCTAAAAGTGTTTTCTAAAAAGGAACTTTTAATAAAGACTGTCAAGTTATCAGCATGTCTTACTGTATAGAATCTTTCATCGTTAAGCTTCTTTAATAACCTATTAGCTACCAAGCATCAAAGAAATAAAAAGAGAATCCTGTTTTGTCCTTCTCCATTCAAACTTTATTCACCATTCTTAGTGATGTTGTCTGAGCATTTTCTATATCGACTCTATAAGCTTCATCAATATGCCGCCTCGTCGTCTCTATACGAATCTCTTCATTTGGAATATTAAAAATATGGAATATAAAATGTGGAATATCTTTATCAAAAAGATGCTTACTATAATCACCCCGTTCGATTTATTCTTCAATAACCGATACGGCTGAATACAGAACCATCTTCACGAAATAGCCGATTCGACATATATTGATTATAATACAGAAGATTCTGAATCAATACACAGTTTCTTATACATCGACCAGCTTTTTCAACATCTTAACATCTGAAACAAAAATGATGTCAATTTGATTAATCTGATATTCTTGGCAAAGATATAATTCAGCCTACTTGCCTTAGAGATAAACACAATCCTTGTCAATCTGTATGCTCGAAATATATATCCTAGAGACGAACAGCTTCGTAAAGAGCCCACTATCTAGCCCACTAAAAAGTAAATTTCAGTTTTACAAATTTAAAAATTTGAACATTCTAATTGGCCATTTAATCTTGTTAGATTTATAGTGTCAGCAATCAGACTCCAATTCGCCACACTCGATTGTAGCGTGATTAAAGCAATGCGTAATGTGAATTCTGTGAATTTTTTTTTAAGTGCTACGAGTGACTAATTCACTTCAAAAGAGTCCATTTACTTTCAAAAGTTTTAGTTTAATGCAGAGCTGGAAAATTTGTCTCGCAGTCATACATCAATTCATTATCTCTCGTTTTCCAGATTTCTATCAGAAAGTTATTGAAGACCTTGTATCGTTGCATTAAAATAAATAAAGACTTTTTTGATTAAGAAAGTATGCTTTAAATTTTATCATATTATTGAAATTTATCATATATAGATATTATTGAATTTTATCATATTATTGAGCATTGTGTTTGATTATTTATTAAATTTATTAAAAATGATGACATGTGATCATAATTAATAACATAAGCATTTATCTTGCATTCATATATAAATACAAAAAAATGAAAAAAAGATTATTAGGATGATTAAGATTCTGCCTGCCGAGATTGTTACAGTTTGTTATTTAAATATACTTTCGATCTATTACTTTGAAACATTTATTGAATTTATTAATATTTATTAACACTTTAGGTGAAAAATAAAATCAACCATTTTATTTGCAGTAACACTAAGACCTTGAATTATAAAATAATTGTTTGAGATATTTGTACGCATTGTAATTTTTATCAATGCTTTTATTTTAATTTAATTTATTTTATTTTATTTTAATTTAATTTAATTTATTGTTATTGTTTTATTATACAAAGATTAAATTTTTCAGTTACTGAAAACGTCAGCAGATTACATATCCGTGTTACTTGCCAGACGAGCCATTGCCAGAGATCAATGATGACATAATTAGAACGGAAATTAGTATATAATTGCTGGTTTACGTTACTACAATGTGAAATTAAGAATAAATTGTTTATAACATATTATGTTATATCGAAAGATATGTAGAAATACAATATTATTTTTTTATATATCAAGCTTCTTTAAAATTTTAATTACATTGTGATCCAGATCAATCTTTATACCAGCTGCTGATTGCAGATAAAAAAAGATAATGAGATAAACAAAAAAGATGGATAATAATATTAAAGATAATATTTATACAAATATATTATTTTTTCGTGACAATAACTATTTTCTATATTATTTTCCTGTTTTTGGAGCAATAAATCTTCTATGATTTTTATTTTATTATTCAGAATTTGTTGTCTTTCTTGTTTCTTCTCTTCTTTCTCGCGTGTCTTTCAACATAATCTCTCATTAACTTGAGAATTTTTGAGAATTTCGAAACATCAATACAACAAAAACAATATAATAAAATATAATAATAAATAATAATCTCTATTTGTTTTACATACTGTATAATTATGTTATTTTCATAAACAAATTTTTTTCTAAGCGGCATGGATCTTCCATCTTTAAATGCAATATATCGTAATTTCAAGAAATTGCATTTAACCAAAAGCATTTAGATTAGTTGTTAATCTATGCGTGGAAAGTTATAATAATCACATAATTACAAACGTAAATATAATATATATTAGCATATTCTTGCAAAAATGTATATTAATAAAATATATATTAATAAATTTCATATTTTACATCTGAATTAATTCAAACAAATCTAATTTTTATATTTTTGAAGTGTATTCTCGATGGAATTTAACATTAGAGAAATCTTTTATTTTATAAACAATTGCTCAAAAATATAAGTTAATACTGTTTATCAGACATCGTGGCATTCGATAAATAGATGAGTTTAACAGTTTGGCGTTCGGATTCCTCATCATTTAATACGCTGTTCCCTTATTGTGGTGCAGCTCTCGCTATTAACTTGCAGGTTAATTTGGAAAGCTGATCTATAGTTTATTTTCACCAGATTTTTGTACTCTTCG